AAGGGGTACTTCTGTGGCCATGTTTCTTCTATGTATTCGACTATGATCAAGGACTCACAGATTGGCCTTTCTCCATGAACGAGCACCGGGACTTTCTTGTGAACTGGGTTGTATTTTAGGAGCTCAGGACTTTTGTTTTGAAGATCTTCTTCTATGTAATCATATGGGATGCCTTTCAGCTTCAAAGCCCATATCACCCTGCAACTAAATGGACTGTTCCATACTCCAAGGAGTTTCAACTCATCAGCCATGTCTGAGAAGAGAGAAAGATTCAACTTCTTTGAATCTCCAAAGCACATTTTATATATGGATCTGTTTTAGCAAAAGAAAATTGTAAAAAGCATTAAAAAAAATTACAAATAGGTTCAAATGGCTTGGGCAGTACGCTTTACAAATTGGATTAAACAAACTATAAATGGGTTGAATTCCAATAACTTGGCATTGCACCTTTTCTTTTGATACCATTATCTAAGTGTTATTTTTCAAAATGTTGCACAGAAGTCTAAAATGTAAATTTAGTGGCGGTCATTGCCTTGAATTATATATATTTTTAATTAAATCAAGGTTAATTTAGCTATTTTTCATCATTTTCCTTTTCTTAATAAAGTCTCTGTCGGTATTGTATGACTTTTGAACTAAGGCAATAAAGAAAGAACCGAAGAAGATCCTCCCTGCCTCATGGTGTTGAAATTTAATAATCTCTATAAGCTCAATGACTCTCAAATCTTATTTATAAACTGACCTGATTTTGTTTTGGATAGGTTGCTTTCAGTGATTAGTAGATATAAGGATCCAAATCCAACTCCCAAAGGGTTTTTTAACACCCAAGTCAAATGTCTGTGTGAGACAGTGGCGGAAGCTAATCTGTAGGGGGGTCAGTACTTTAAATGCAAGATTATATTATATTTTAACTAATATTGTAGTTGATGCTTAAGAAATAACGGGGTTTTCATGGAGTTTGGGGGGTCATGGCCGTGGTAGGCTGCATGTGGCTCCACCCCTGGTGTGACAAGTGTAAGTAATAGGCCTGTCAATGGATCAGATTAACGGATTGAAAAGTGAAATCCATATCCTTCATTAATTACACCGAATTCGGATCAAAATCTGATCCATTGACAGGTCTATGTGTAGGTGCTGCAGCGCTATTTTAAAAATAGTAGTTTTGAGGTGGACCAAGAAAAATAAAATAGTGGTTTTCAGCATAGATGTGTGTTCAACTGTTATTGATAAGCAAATAATGAAAAAAATTATTGAGGAAGGCAACAAGAACCTTATCCAACGCTATTTTAAAAGCAGTAGTTCTGAGGTGGACCAAGAAATTTTTTTTGTCGTTTTCAGTATAGATGTGTGTTCAACTGTTATTGGTGGGCAAATAATAATAAAAATTGAGGAAGGCAGCAAGAACTTTATTAAGAGCAACTATATAAGAAATTCAACTAACAAATATATAAAAGAAATTTATTTAGCAAATCCAGGACATGTTCTTCATCATATATGTATTTGGTTTAGTCACTTTCCTTATCATGTTTTACATAAATTACAGTTTGATCGTTTTGATTTTAAAATCTGTCGAGGATTTTCTTTGTAAGTTCTTTTTGATCGTTTTTCAAAAAATTTAACTAACAAATTTATGCTCCAGAAGTACTTATCTAAATTAGAAAAGGTTGACCGATATAGTAGAATTGTACATAGAAAACTTCTTGCTCTTGAAGTACTTATTGTATATATATATATATATATATATATATATGTAAAATAATCTATGGAGCTATGATCTCGCAGCAAGAACTTTATTAAGAGCAACTATATAAGAAATTCAACTAACAAATATATAAAAGAAATTTATTTAGCAAATCCAGGACATGTTCTTCATCATATATGTATTTGGTTTAGTCACTTTCCTTATCATGTTTTACATAAATTACAGTTTGATCGTTTTGATTTTAAAATCTGTCGAGGATTTTCTTTGTAAGTTCTTTTTGATCGTTTTTCAAAAAATTTAACTAACAAATTTATGCTCCAGAAGTACTTATCTAAATTAGAAAAGGTTGACCGATATAGTAGAATTGTACATAGAAAACTTCTTGCTCTTGAAGTACTTATTGTATATATATATATATATATATATATATATATATGTAAACTAATCCATGGAGCTATGATCTCATTTCGTATTCTCCATTTACATAGAATGCTCCTATTTACACCTTCATGTCCTATTTCCCCCAACCCTCATCTTATATTCACCATTTTCCTTTTTTTTAAGTCTCTCTCGTTATTGTATGACTTTTGAGTTTGAACATAGTGGCCTCATGGATATATATAAATTTAATATTTATTAGCTTTAGCACAATGGCTCTCAAGTCTTATATTTTATATAACAAAAACTGACCAAACTGTAGGATTCAGTTATGGATAGGTTGCTTTCAGTGATTAGGAGGAGATTGGGTTAGTAGATAAGGACCCAAATTCAATTCCCAAAGGGTGTTTTAACACCTAAGTCAAATGTCTGTGTGAGAGAACATGTGGGTGTATACGTAAGTCCTCATACATGTTTAGGTGCTCCAGAGAGTAACAATCAACTAAAAGTAAGCAATCGATAGGCGCCAATATGTTTGAAACAAAAAGTAAGAATAAAAACATGCAAAGGAGGCACTAGTGTAATGGTTTGAAGTAATTACTCTCTCATCCAAGGTCCTAGATTTAAGTCCTAGCATCCGTGTTGTGTTTGTGAGTTTAATATATTATCGCCCCTCTCAATAGGAAAAGTTCTTTAAAAAGAATAAAAACAAAGATTTTTAAACTTAATTTTGTGATACATTCAATATACCATGGTGTATTGTTTTATCAGCGGTAGTTAAATTTTTCATAAAAAAATACTTTGTATGGCTAGTATTTTTGTTCTAATAAATAGAGTATCATACTTTTATTCATAACATAGAAACCCAGAAAGTTAGAGAAAGGGAAACTAAACAAGGATCCCGGCCCTTTCTTGCCCCTGAGTTGAAACCTTCATACACCATAGGAAAAGGAACACAGAAATCTTTTGCAAGTCTCACTGAGACGCCAACAAATTTTCCCTGACATGCTTGAAGAGGACCACCACTTTATCACGATCAGGAAGATTTTCTTTGATCACAGGCACTTCTTTTTAGTTTTGAGTCCATGCGTGCAACCAAGGAAATGCATGGGCTTCAAATTGCTTCACCCCAACCTCGTCTTCAGTGACTTCAGTCCAATGAGCAATCCATCGAAGGGGTATGTCTACAATTCCAATGTTGTCTCCTCCGAAAAATTTCTTCTTTACCAGAGTGCCCACGTGCTCGTCGATGGTTCTCAGCATCTCCAAACTTTCTTTCTTGAACTTCTCTTGTTTGTCGCCGGTGGTTGTGAAGACCATCCAAATTGCAGGATCCTAGTAGAATTAATTAACACACCTATTATTATATATGATGAAAAAATTAATAATAATGTTTATACTGTCAATACCGGTAATTATGTGAAATCATGTCTAGAAGAATGTGCCATATGTACACACAATTTGACAAATATAACATGTAACCTACACTCTTTAAATAGAATTAAAAAAAAAAATTAACGTATAGCCGATCGGCTATACTCTTCAAATAGAATTTAATATATTTTAACCGTATCGCCGCACGGCTATACTATATAAATAGAATTTCAAAAGTATACTCACGCGGCTATACTCTATAAAAATAAAATTTAAAAGTATATAAACTATAAATAAAATATTTAAAACGTATAGCAGCGCGGTTATAATCTTTAAATAGAATTTAAAATTTTAAAAAGTACAGCCAACCGGCTATACTCTATAAATAGAATTTCAAAAGTACAGTTGCGCGACTATACTCTATAAAAAGATTATTTTAAAATTATATACTCTATAAATAAAATATTTAAAACATATAGCAGCGCGGGTATACTCTAGAAATAGAATTTCAAAAGTATAGCCGCCCGGCGATACCAAATAAATATCTATAAAGTACAAACTCAAACTAATTCAACTAGGAGGGTCCCTTTTTCATAAATTTTTTTGAAGTATAAATGGTATAGCCGTACGGCTATACTACGGTTTTTATATATATAAAAAAAAAGTATAGCCGACGGGCTAAACACGTTTTTCTAATTTTTTATTATAAAGAAATAGTATAATATTCCAATATATGAATAAAATACGTGATAATATTTAACATAATTTATTTAAATTTTTTAATATAGATTATTTGTATTCAATAATATGTGATAATTATGTGTATATTATGTGAATTTTGTATGTATTATTGAATATTTTGAAAAAAAAATAATAATACATGTATTAAACATGAAAAATACATACGTACTTATTCAGTACGAGTATTGTATGTTTGCTTTTTAAAAAACGTGAATTTTACCGAGTCTTTAAGACGTGTACAAAACACGGATGTATTATTAAAATATAGCTACATCCGTGTATAATACAATATTAAACGTGAAATTGCTAAATTCTTTATACGGATAATAACTCTGGAAAAGTACAAAATCAAAATGGGGCAATAAAGACTCGGGTAATGGCCTAATAGTAATGGATAATGCTCTAAACTACTTTTATCGATAAACGAAAATCAAGGAAAAAATATAAAAGAAAAAGAGGATCCAGTATATATATAAAGAGTATAATCGCTTAGATATACCATTTATAAATATTAATAAAAAAAAAAAAAGAGCCGAGTAAAGCCGCGCAGCTAGGGGTGGGCATCAATCCGGCCGATCCGGTTACACCGGCCGAACCGATTATATTGGTTTGGTTTGGTTTGGTTTTGACCAAAGAAAAAGTCAACAGTTTCAAAAACCGATCCGAACCGGTTTGGTTTGGTTCGGCTGCGGTTTGAGAACTTTGTAAACTGTCCTAAACCGAACCGGACTGATTAGAAATAAATTTATTATTTGTTAAATATATTTTACATGTGGCAAGGCTTGAGTGGTTATTTTGTAAGTGTTATCATGCACCATTCCGCACATGATTGGACTCCAAAAGCCTGAAAAACTCATCCAAAACTAAAACTCACGGATCTAGTCACTCTCTACCTCTCCCTCACATTTCTCTCAGCCTCTCCTCCGTTTCCTAACCCTAGCCGCACACAACACTCACTACTCTCATGTCATCGCATCATTCATCTCCATTTTCATCACCTTTGGCCTCTTCGTCTCCCCACTGTAATCTCTCTCTCTCTCTCTCTCTCTCTCTCTCTCTCTCT